TGCCCACCACGAAATGATTCTATGAATTCTAAAATCTGTCTAGGATTTTTTACAAGACTAACAGGTAAAAGGCAAGTTGGGATATTTGAGGACTGAAAAACAGAAAAAAAATTATGTCTAGGAATTTTTTAGAAACTTAGTTTTGAATTTGAGGAAGATAATTTCCTCAAATTATCTCTCTCTCCATCCCTCCCTCCCTCTCTCTCTCTCTCCCCCCCCCCCCCCCCCCCCCCCCCCCCCCCCCCCCCCCCCGCACACACACACATGCACACGTACCACCACCACCAATAGCAGCAGCAATAGCAACAGTAATATTCTCCCAGGTTGATCCCCCAAAATTTCTTGGAAATACGCTCTATCCTTGTTTCATAAGCAAATGCAACATTGAATATGAAATACTATTATTATGCAAGTTGAATTCTTGTACTTTTTGTTTTTAATAATAGATCCTCTAGATTGTGACAATCTCAAAATAAGAAATAAAATTGGTCTCGTGCCCAGGCAGGGTATATGTCATGTAATTACAGCTGTATCAGTGAAGTGCCTCAGTTCTTCCTCAATTTTTTCCATCTACTTGGTGACATCCAAAATTTCCTTTCACAAGGAATACAGCCTTTTGTTGCTGAAAGGAAAATAAATAAAATATAGGATTTTAGCACCCCTGAGATGATGTGCAAAGGCAGTGTTGTGAGTTCACAAAACTCTGTTTTCTTTTCTTTCCTGGACCAAATAGAATACATTTCCCAGCTTTCTTTGCAGTTACCTGAACCTTTGTATCTGAATTCTAGAACGTGGGTGGGAGTGATGTGTGTCAATTTCTGTCTCAGCCCCAGAAGTCTACTATGAAATCTATTCTCATTCCTTTCTGTTGTTGGATATCTGGATGCAATTATTCCTGCAGCGGGCTCTGGAGCCTTAGGTGACAGGATATCTTGTAGACAGAAGGTACCTGGGTCCTTGAACAACTATGTGGTACATAGCACACCACCCCACGATCCACCTGGACTTTTATGTGATAGTGGAATAAACATTATTGTGTTAAGCTATTAAGACATTTTGATGTTATAATAGCAGTTAGGCTACTCTGAATAATACAGAACAAGGGGAACAGAAATGAGACAAAAATATAGTTTTATGTGAGAGTGGAATAAACATTATTGTGTTAAGCTATTAGGACATTTTGATGTTATAATAGCAGTTAGGCTACTCTGAATAATACAGAACAAGGGGAACGGAAATGAGACAAGTATATACAATGTCAGACAAACATTTTCTCTCTTTCATGGAGCAATACCTTTTTCAAACTTGAATCCCAAAGTTCCTCAGGATACTAATTACTCAAGATGATTACTCCCTGATTATTCACTAGCTGATTTTCCAAGGACTTTTATAGGGTCCTCAAAACTTTAGAATGACATTTTACAAGAGAAAGTAACACCCAGAGGGAGAACTTTGCCTAATTAAAGTTTCATGTTTGAATAGTAGAAGAACAGTATGTCCTTGCTTGAGTCAGTATCTCTTTTCAACTCATCATTTTTGGTTGCTTCCATGATAATTACTTTTTTCTTTTTTATCTAATACAGAATTACAAGTAAGAGAATTCTGATAGTAGAATTCCCTTACTCTTGTAATTTAGCTCTATTCTTATGGAGCTAAATTATTTAATCCTAGGAAGTTATACCATGACCCCCAAAACCTACCACAAAGATCTGTCACTAAGAGTAAATAAACTCTGTCTTAGGAGTTAAATAACAACTTGAAACAATAGCAACTATACACAGAGAGTTTATGTGTGTATGTATTTTATGTTTCTTCCTGGTAAAAGAACATTATGGATGAGACTCTGCAAAGTAATACTGTCAGCAGGTCTAAGAAAGAACTTACCATAATCCTTTCAGTTGATGTTATCTGGAAAGTACTGTAATTTTTTAATTAAAAAACTGAAAAGGTACTCATGTACCTTCAGAACAGTAAAAAAAATAAGTAAATGAAAAGGTAGATTTTTATAAAATATAATTATTTGTAAAAGGAGAAGGAAAGAAAAAATGGCATTCAATGAACATCTGCTATGTGCCAAATGTTGTCTAAAACATCTGGTTTTCTATTCATTACCGTGTGACCAATGCCACAATTTTATTTTAATGAAGAGAAAAGAAACTCAGACCAGCAAAATCACCTACTGAAGACTACTTGGCTAATCAGTGGCAGTCCTGGGATGCAGACAAAATTTATTTTTCAAGTCTGTATTCATTTCAATCTACTCTATTGCAGCACTAAATTTGAATGTTAGAAATAAAATGATTGTGTCTAAAGCTAAGACTCTCAGATAAAAGTTCCATTTGTTATAAATAAACATCAAAGTGCAGTCTCCCATGTAGCACGGCACATAGAATGGCTGGGTTGGAGTGTAGTGTTCAGAACCCAGAGAGATGGGAAAAGGGAGGAGAGGTAATGGGAATAACAGACAGAAAGAAGTAATAATATCTCAAGAAAGAAAACCAGGGACTGTAGGCTACCGGGGCCATTTCAACCACTTGTCATGACCCCTGAAATCTATGTAATGTAGTGTATATATTTTTTTATTTTACTGGGACAGAGATTTAGGCTGTACTCCTTGAGGCTGCTATGTGTGAGCAAATCACTGCCGATGGACCTCCCAACAACCTATCACCTATATTTAACCCTTGCCTTCAGTCTGTTACATTCATGGTAATGCCCATCAATGGTTAAGGTGATTTTCTAATATTTTAATTTTTAACTTAGTGTGTTTTATGGGAGGCAACATAGCATAGTTGTTAAAACTGGACTCTGTAGCCACATTGCCTGAGTCCAAATCCCATCTCCAATATTTACTAGCTATGTAATTTGGTCAAGCTACGTTTAAACTTGGCTGTTCATCAGTTTCCTCACCTGCAAAATAAGGACAAGAATAACATTAAACTTAAGGATTATTATACTGATAAAATTAGTGTGTATATAGAATAGTGTCTGGCAAGCAGAAAATGCTAAATGTGCTAACGCTTATTATAGAAGGAAATATATGCTATTATTGTTTTCATCTATAAAGTGAATCACCATGTTATGGGACTTATTCTATATAAATATCAAAGGAAAAAAGGATTAAGGGGAAAGGTTTTGGTCTTTAATACTATTATATTACCTGGGATTTAGGAGCTACAAAATGTAAAAGTATAATTAAGCTTTCTGTTTGTTTTCACACAATAGCAGAAACTACCAAATCATTTCGTAGATGTTCACTGTCTCTAAAAAGACAGAATAAGTCTATGAAAACATTTGGCATTTTTTGTTTTAAAACAATAGCCCTAGTTAATTGACCTGTTTCTGATCACCTGTACCAATTTCTTATTTCTCATTTTAATCACAAGGAAAAGGAGGAAGGAGATGAATGCCAGAAATGAGATGAGGTCAGGGATAGGAAAGAGAGTCGAGGATGGGGCAGTGTCAAAAAATGGCTGGCAGGTTTATGCCAAACCAATCAATTAAGCTTCAAAGATATTCCTTTTACTTATTTGAATAAAATGTTCATGGTGGCCGGGTGCAGTGGCTTAAGCCTGTAATCCCAGCACTTTGGGAGGCCGAGGTGGGTGGATCACGAGGTCAAGAGATCGAGACCATCCTGGTCAACACAGTGAAACCCCATCTCTACTAAAAATAGAAAAAATTAGCTGGGCATGGTGGTGCGTGCCTGTAATCCCAGCTACTCAGGAGGCTGAGGCAGGAGAATTGCCTGAACCCAGGAGGTGGAGGTTGCGGTGAGCCAAGATCGCG